AATCGGGACTCATTTTAGGTACACGATTTTCCATATGAACAATAAATATTCTGACAAAATTCCAGCCACTATTTTTCGGCTAGTTTTTGAGTTACCGCAGTTCCAGGACAAACTTTGGCGTGACCACACGTACTACACAAGCATGCGCAGTGGCTGAATTTGAAATCTTTAGCTCACACAATCACATAAAACATCCTTGCAAAGTTTTAGCCTTTTACCTTGCCTGGTTCTCAAAATCGGTTTTTGCCAAAGAAATTTGCATTTTTTCGAAGGTCCGTACGCGGAGTCTAGGCGCATATGAGCGAAGATTTTGAAACGGGAGGCTCTGTCACACGAAGTAGAAATCTGTCTTCAAAATTTTATCACTCCAGCTTTCCTGGTTGCTGAGTTGAAAGTGGGTGACAAATTTAACTCGCTTCCGAATACACACAAATACACACACACTGACAACCTCTCGACAATATGCATTTTTGTTCGCTGTAGCAGCGCTACTGCAAAAACACATAAAAGTGGCAAAACCAGTAAAACCTTTATTTTAAAAAATTTTCATCACACTAGCCAGAAAATATGTCATAGTTTTGCAAAAATTACTCATAAGGGTTCATTTCCTTCAGTCGCTATCTACATGTTAACCACACTACTCTATATGCCATCTAGTAATTAATTAAATTTAAAAAATAATGGATTTCATTTAGCAGTGAAAAATAAGCCATTTGTATTTGGAGCCAGTGACCGATTCCGTACGATCCACAAAATACCTGGGCCGGAATCTCTTTTATGTTTATCGGTGCTATCGTAATGTATTCTCAGAATTTCTTCGATAATTTCATGAATGCGATCGAACGTCTGCCCGAATAAAACCGGATTAGCATTTTTGAAAATGAAAACTGCCCGCATAAGTTGCGTCAAGTTCAATCGATTATAAGATGGAAAGTGCCATTTGGATGAATAATCTTTTGTGAGGAGACATGCCGCATGTAAATCTGCCAGTGCTTTGACAACCTGAATTGGTGGGAATATTTCAGTACTGGTAAATACCTCAGTTAGTTATATCAGAAAAATACCGTAACTTTTAACTTTCGTCTACTGATGATTGATTCCAGTTCCTCATCCAAAGACGCACCCACATAGTTAGGGTAGAATAAAAGCAAGCGCACAAGAAAAAAGAAACCTTGTTCATCAGCCTACAGTCACTAGTCAGCTGATAAAATCACTGTGCCAGAAAGTTCTACGAAGCGCATCAATGAAATGTAAGTTTTTATTTGACTTAAGTTAAACTGCTGCTGGTCAACAGAAATGTGCATAGCTCGCATAGAAAAAAAAGTGTTTTTGTAACGAAATGATGTTGCTAAATAATTTTCATCCCAAAATCACTAGATGAAGTATTATTTGCCATGGAAAAGAATGAACAGATCGTAGAAGGGCTGGATGTCCCACTGAGGAATTGAACACATAATCTATTGTGCTTCTGTCTTATTTTCTGAAAATTTTCAGAGACTGCAAGAATTGCCAAATAACTGTTTAAAAGGGGACGGATTTAAATATGGCTTTTAACACTGTACCTCCTTTAAACATTCGATTGATAAATCGTTCGCAGCCGACATACTTGTGGTTTTTGTGAAATCTTCAAAAATGATAACACCGGGATCGCAGAGTTCGCTGATCAACGGTTTCGCAAATACCACTGGTGGAACTTTTAGATTTGGACTGTTTAATTTGTGAGCGAATTCCAAAAAATCACATTCAATGTCATGGCACTAAAGGCTATTTTTTAAAAAGAAGCCCAATTTACCGTAGAATTAAAAACGACGACGATAATATAAGTAACATATAGTTAAGTAATATCGAAAAAAAGTAAAGAAGCTCTGTGGATTCAGGAATAAAATGGATTTGAATATTTTTCATATTTTCAATTTACTTCGCCTTACGTGTATGCTTCACAAATACTTCCTAATAAGGGACAACAATAAATACTCAAATTCACTTGGCTTGCCCAGCTATGTTTTACGTTTAAAAATGGGATTTCCGTCCCGTTTACTCATTTTACTGCCTGAAATATTTTTAGCACAAAAACCTAGTTGATGAAAACGATAGTTTAATTGAATGAAACATCGACAGCCATTAATTATAATTTGGAATTTTGGTGGATTTATCCTACTAAAATCAGTTTTCAGATTCCGCCTCAAGAAAAGAACTCTTCCTGGTAAAGATGATGTTCTGAAGACGACGAAATCGAAAACTTAGTCGCATCGCTGG